GGCTATCATTAGACCAGTTAGTGTATCTTTAATCATATACTCAAAATAAAAGTAATAATAAAGTTTGAGAATATAGTGTTATAGTGCTTATAAGATGTTAGAATAGTGTCTGAATAGCGAACTTTATTTAATTAACTGCAAAACAGAAATTAGAAGAAAAATCCTTCAGTATCTCAAAATGATGAAGTGTTGAGTAAATTAAACTCTAATAGGTGGTTGGGATTAAATTTTCACCCTTGGTCTCCCCCCACAGTACTCTCAATCACTTCTTTGCCAGTACTGTTAGTCAGAAGGGATTGCAAATACTTGAAAGCACCACAACCTTCACAGGCTTTACAAGCACCACAAGAACATCATTTCCTCTATACTGATAAACAAATTCCTTCCCCATAGACAGTACACTTAGATATCAAAGAGTTGTGACAGTACATGGTAAAAACCTGTTTTTATAGCTGTTACAGTCAGAAAGATTAGTGTGGTGAAAGGTAATACAAGAATGAAATGGCAAAAGGGACAAACAGGGAAAGAATGCTCACGTGTCTCTGAAGATCCAGGCTCTCAGGGAAAAACTCCACAAAGAAGAAATCTCCAGAAAAGAGATCCCTCCTCAGTGGCAGTCAGCCCTTAAATGGGGTCTAAGAGAGCTGCAGCCAGGCTCCACCCTTTCCGTTCACAAAGATGAATTTCCTTCACTTGTGTGCCCAGGGCTGAGCCGGTCCTTTCCCCAGTTGATCAGTCAGTGCTTCATACTGTGACTCAGCAGTTCCCATATAATAGCATTTTCATGTGTGTCTGTTCTTTAATTATGACAGTTTCAATAATTATACTGTTAATTCTAATGGTCTTCCTTTGTGTGACATCTGATTGTGTGCTCTTCTTATATAGCACCTTACATGACCTAAGATATCTTTCAGCATTATTTCTGTTTGGGCTATTTGCTCTTTCAAATACAAACAGAGTCTTAGCTCTGTTCTGAAATGGTTGCTTTTTTGGAATTCTTTATAAAGAGGTTTACCCTTCCTAGTTGTTTCCTAGTTGTTTCTCACTGGAATGACTCAGATTAGATGTTTTCTTACCTAATTGTAACCATGTAGAATTCTTAACATCTTTATATTTCTGACTCTGCTGAATTACTAATTAAAATAAGTTATTTTTATTTATTTAGTTAATTAGTTAGTTGAAGAAAAAAGTAAAACTAACCTCAAAGAGCATTTGTTCTAAACACCAAATGCCCTTGAACTCTTCATACTTTTCTATTTCCTCATTTCAATTCAGGGTACCCAGAGGAGTAAAATATATAGAAAATAAAAATTTTTAAAAAAATAATCTTTTTTGATGTTTCAAAATATATCATTATATATTAGCATTAGAAATTTAAGAGAGAATCAGTTTCTGTGAGAATTATGCTAGTATAATTTACATGCAAAACCCATTCACTGTTATATGGAATCAGTAAAATCAAAATGTTTTCAGAAGCCTGTATAATAAATGGAAAGAAAATTAACAGGGTGAATGATTGTTCTGGTTAGGAGTTGGGTACCAATTAAAAACATAATTTCTTTGTGCTTCAGAATAAGGTGTTTTCTAAGCATATTTAACATTAAATGATACTGTAATCATTTGCTGAAAGCAAAAACATATCACTCAAGGAAGTTTAACTGCTACTTGAAGTCAAAGCATACCAATAAGCTAGCTCATAATTACAGCTAGAGAATTCAAGCTCTCTAGCTTGAATTATAATCTTTACCTTCCTCCCAGCTATATATAGTAGTCATCTTTTTTGTCTAAGGAGCCACTGCCAAAGACACCTATATTAACTGCTGTAGCTATCGCTCCTCTCCTTGGATGCAGCTTGATTCCCAGCAATGCCTTATTCTGTTTTCATACTTGTGTCCTTTCCTTTTTATATATATACAAGCTTCTGTTGTATTCAGAATTCATCTGTGTAGACAGAGCTATGAAAGGTGTGTGATGGAGTTCTGAAATGTGAGGTATACTAGTGTAAATGGCTCTGAAATCAAATAGTCTGCTAAACATTAAATCTTATGAACAGAGTCAGCTGTCTCCATATTTAACAGAACAAATGGACCCCTTGTTACTGTTCCTACTTACCATCCTAAGTGGAAGCCATTAAGAAATAATTTGACAGAATCCTCTTAGCATAGATAATAATTCTTTTGTAATGACTATGATCAGAGTGGAAGGCATTGCTTATATCACCTATTGCTTACTGCTTTATTTTGATGTAAAATTGCATGTGTACTGAAGACTTAAATGAAGCCCTCACTAACTTCACTTTTTCCCAGAACAGGAGATACTACTAAAGGAGCATTGTATTCCACTTCAACTAATGCATTGCCTTTTATATATATGTGTGTGTGTGTATGTGTGTGTGTATATATATAAAAATAACTATATGTATGTATATATATATATATAAAACTTATATATATAATATATATAAGTTATATATAAACTTTATATATATATATAAAACTTTTTGCTAGTTTAGTAATATCCTTGGAAACATGAGAAGAGGCAGTACTTTGTCAGATCTAGCCAGAAGCCACTATTCATTTCTCGATTCGTTTGAACATAGCTAGACACAGCCTCTGCTGACTTGAATTCTTGGAACAGCTTCAGTGACCTGATAAAATAAGGATTCATTTGTGTATTCAAAGATGTTCAAACCAGTCTGGTACAAACTACTCCTTTTTACACTTATTCATTAGCTGCTAGCATACAGCTAGCATTAATGTGAATAGTATGCACATTGCATACCATCTTCATCAGCTTATAATAACCTAATGCACCTATGTAATTCTTGAAGTACATTTGGAAGTAATGTAAAACGTTTGGGATATGTGGCCTCTGTGCAATATTTACTTTTAATTGCATGTCTTATTTGAAGAAACTAATGAGTGAGCCTTCTAGGCTGAGGACTGTTTTATTCCCTGATTACCTAATATGTGCAGATTGCTAGATTAATCACTTAGGCAATATTTTTCATTCTCGTTTGCATAAAGCAATATTTTTCTATTTACATGAAGCTATAAAAGGGTGAATCTGAAAAAAAATGGGCAGATGGTCTTTTATTTTGTAAATACTAGTGTACCGTGTATGGAAAATATTATTTTCATTTTGTTTCAGAGATTTAGCTAACATATCTTCACAGTTTTTATAACTGCACTTATGCTAATGATTTTAAACTGTTCATCTCTTTGCCAAAATTGTCCTGCAGTATCAAATATGTTTCATGTAGATGAAGAAAAAATATTTTCTAACTTTGTTTTTCACTTCTTATCACAGTTTCTTAAATTCTGAATGTTACTTATTTCTTTGTTGAAGATCAGATGTTACAGTTTTGTTTGTCTTTTTGATTTCTGTTCTTGACATGACTGTTAAACAGTAATTCAAGTCTTGCCTATTTCATGTATATCCAGGCTGATTATATACAGATACTTAATTTAATAACAAATCTATTTCATGATGGTTTCAATTGCCATATGATGATTTATGCAATATTACTTAGACAGTATTTTTTCTGTGCTCGTATTTACTATCAACAGAGCAATGCAATTGTTTTTCTAGCAAGTTTGTAAGTTCTAAGATATTCACGGAGAAATTTTGGCATTCAGAACGTTTGATTTAGATTGTAACAGTTCCTGCTTCCAGAGAAGTTTGTTCAGATGATCCTTTGTACCAGTTAACAAAAAGGAATCTAGAAAGGTCAGGGTATTCAGTATATGCTCAATACAGTCATTAACATTCACTGTAGTTCATGTTGTGGTTTTCAGAGCGGTAACATATTTCTACCATAATTCCAGCACTGCAGATCTTTGTATTTCAAGATTCCAAACCCCATGTTCATGAAACAGTAATTTTTTTTTTTTTAAATCTCATGTGAATCCCAGTTATCTACTATCTACAGTACTAAAGTAAAATTTAGTAAGTGTTCTTCTCTAAACAGAGAGTACTTTTCTGCTTACTTTTATATGTGTTGATTAGAGCTTGAAGTTATCATGACCTTTTTTATTCATTGATTCATGAACATTTATTGGCCAATTCAGTAAGCTCTTGAAACTTGCAAGAACTGAGACTGCACAGTCTTTCTGGGTAACCCCTTCCAATACATCATAAATAATTTTTTCCTAATGGCCAGCCTGAACTTCTCTTGTTTCTCAATTTATCAGTTGTCTTTCATCCATCTTTTTAATAACTTCCCACAGGCATGAGCAGTTGATTGTTTAGTTCCTCTATAGCTCTCTCCTGTTTAAGCAAGTCCTCCCAACCTCTCCTCATTCACTGAGTGCCCAGCTACGCCCACCATGTCAACCCACACTTAATTTCACTCATGTGAAGCTTAGAATCATTCTTATATTCCGAGGTTAGGGTTGGGGGAAGCTGGTTGATATGTGGTATTCTGCATTTGGCATGAAGAGCACCTAGAAGAGGTGTTAATTGCTCTCCTCCATCTACTAATGTATATGATCTCCTTGATCATGATCCTGTGAATAAAACCCAGTTGGCTTCTGCTGTTGCCTGTGCACACTTGTCCTCTATGACTGTCCTCAGCTTGAATGATTTCAGTTTCCTTATTTCCTACGAGGTACAAAACTTAGCATTTATCCTTACTGAATATCATGATGTTCCTACATATGTATTCTTCCTGTCTTTCTAGATCAGTAACCTCATCCAGGTTATTGATAAAGATGTTAAATTTGGAAATAGGCAGAACCCTGTGGTACTCCACTTGTTACTGACCTCAAGGTAGAGAACGATCAATTAACTGCTGCCTTTTAAGCCTAACCATCCGACTAGATTCTTAAGAAACCTACCTGTCTGCTTGTCCAGAGTTTATGGGGATTTGCCTTGGCTGGCAGCCCAGAGAGCCTGTACATTCTATATGCTCCAGAAGACATAATGCTGAAATTGATACACAGCTTACATAGTACGCTGTATAGAACAAGAAAATATAAGCTATAGACAGATGAATGAGAATGTGTTCACAGTATACTTTTTATTTTTCAGCTCTACTTCAGGTTTCCATTTCTCTTAGCAAAGTCGAACTCAGTGTCGGTGAATCCAAATTCTTCACATGTACAGGTGTGTATTCATGTTATTTTGAGATTTTTTTCTTAGATTTTCAACCTTATGCTTAATTTAAAAGTGAACTAATCAATTCACAATATTAACTTAAATTTGCATATTTTATATATTCATATTGACTTGTGAGAATTCTGAGAAATGGATCTTCACTGATTTCACATTTGCAGTCTAGAAACTATTGATTTCAGATTCCAACAAACCGTATAACTTTAGTTTCAAATTTGTCTGCGTTGGTGTAGATAATTTATATCTATCATTGTTCTTATTTGGTTAAGATACTTTTACTTGTTTAAATTAATGATTTAATAAGCTAGTAGGTTAGGCTGTTGTATCCTTAGAAAGTCTTTTCCATAGTGACAGAAGTAAGTCAGAAGAAAAGAGTTTGCTTTTGCTGCTGTCTGAAACGAATTCTTAATGCTGCTGATTTGTGAATGTCCATTGAGAATGACGTATGACCAATTATAAGACAAAGTGATTGCTGACCAGACTTCTTTTCCTTTCAAATTTTATGTGTTTCTGTGTTTATTTTTTCCTCATAAATTCTGGAGCTATTAATTAACCTGTCTCAACAATCATACCTTTGTCTGCGGTTTTACCTTTCTTATCTTTCTGCAGTTTCTCAGAACTCCTTCTCGCAGTTCAGCAGTCTATGACTTTGCATAGAGATTGTGCATATGCATTACTTAATGTCTCCTTGAACTTATAACCTTGTATATTATTTATTTTTTTATTTATTTTGCAGCCATTGGTGAGCCTGACAACATAGATTGGTACAATCCGCAAGGAGAGAAAATTGTTTCTAGTCAAAGAGTGGTTGTTCAGAAAGAAGGTGTTCGATCACGTCTCATCATTTATAATGCAGATGTAGAAGATGCTGGCATATATCGATGTCAAGCAACAGATGCTAAAGGACAAACTCAAGAAGCTACTGTTGTTTTGGAAATTTATCGTAAGTATAGTAATACCAAATAGAACACAAAAGAATATGATTTGAGAGCCACTGCTATTGAGAAAGCAAAGCCTATCAAAATATTGTTCCAGGCTCTGGAGTGTATCTTCCAAATAATTGTGTCTCCTGCAGTTTAGTTCACAGTTAGGAAGAAGACTTTGTATTATTGCAGATTACTTTCTGTTTGTCTCTTAAAATACCATTTCTGTGGGGTGCACGACATGTTCCTCGTGGAAAAGAGGGACTATGAGGGACTACCAGAAAAAAAAGTTTTTTCAGTCTTATCTATAAGTACAAGTACATATAACAGCAGCCTATAACAAATATGTACGTAAATAAAGAAGTAAGAAAGGCAAAGTAGATTATTAATTAAGTGAAGTTTAGAGTGAATTTATTAGTTTTCTATCAGTCTTCACATATTCTTGGCCCTGCAATGGAACATTATATAGAGCATTGAAGCTTAATATGATAAACAGCTAAAATGCATTTCAGTTGCTAACAATTATTTGAATATATGTTAAAAGCAAATACATTCTATTACTGCTAGAGATTCTCTGAGAGTTTGGGTTTTTTCCAAATTCATTACATTTGCAGTATAATATATTCTTTAGATTAATCAAAATGACTAAAAGCTAATATTAAATAAATACAGTGAAAAGATATAAGCTAAGGGATGTTTGGGTGAAAGAAGGGGACATTTGCTGACATCCTTTCAGCTGAATTCTTCAGTAATTTCATTGGAGAGTAGTCTTTCATAAAAAATACATTTCTGGATGGATTAAATGTTAAGGAATTGCCTTGTGACAGAAAATAATCATAAAGCACTGCTTCTGAAAGGTATAGATAACTCAGACAACAAAAGATACACTTTTTTTTTCTAAAGCTATTGATAAAACAACCATTAGAATGATGATAGCAGTTACAAGCAATTACATGATGGCTTGAAAGCTGACAGTTCAAAGGATTGCAAGTTCTGTGGAATTCATTTTTATGCTTAAAGCTGCCAGTCACTCTGTCAGCAAGGAGCTGAACGTAGCTGAAATCTTTTGAAGTGTGTGCATGTGGTAATTTTAATAATTCTGAGACAAGCCCAAAGACGTACACAAGAAATGGAAATGTTTATGGAAACTAACATATAGAAGTGTCATTGTTTGTATTTGTAATGTATTATAAGGAAAAAGCAGGATATACTGTGTAACTTGTTTGTAAGAGTTTTTCTTCTCAGGCGTAAGTGTAATCGAATACTTCAGATATTTTAAAACAAATACTTTATAAAAGTGGGCAAGATGTGTACATAGCAAAAGCTCGCTCACTCTACTGTGGAAAATGTATGGATTATTGGAGCGTGCACTCATTAATGCAGAAAGAATTGCATTCTCTGAATTACATTCAAAATATCCTCTTAAATGGAATTGGCAATGTTTGGTTCTAGGGAATATGTCAACACGTTTCTTCTGCGTGCAAGAAATTCTTGCAGAAATCTTCTGCATTAGATCTTGGATGAGACTATGTTTTAATGCCAGCTTGAAGTTCTTCTGCTGAATTCTCGTAATAATGAACTTTCTAAACTCACTAATAAAACTAAATATTAAGTGTGATTACTTGGAACCAGAATCAAGAAAAAGTGTTATCAGAATCCTCAGAATCTTAGAGCAAAAACCCCCTACAAATTCTTGTGACAAAAATAGAAACTTTTTTCATATAGTTTCCCATTGTTTTTTGACTTATGTTTTACTCAGCTGATAATTTATCATAGTCAATGAAGCTGTAGTTCCACCTTTCTAATAAGACTTCTCCAGGTGGTTTCAGTGGGCATTTAGATGCAATGAGAACATGAGGAATTAATTCAATAATAAGATCATGAGAAATAAAACACGAAAGAGAGTAGAAAGGACTATTAACCTGAATATGTAGACCTCTGAAAAACTAGAACTTCAAAACTGGGCTCTGGACTATTGAAAATGATGAAAAACATATTTATAAAGCATGCTGAGTTTATATAAATAAAACAAACATTTTTGTAATGCCAAATGATTGTAAAATCATTCCTAGAGATAGAGTGAATGTTCTGTCTTCAGGACCATTTTGAATTTTGAAATGTTAGAGTCTTTGAATCTTAGAAAAATGTATTATGGAAATAATTCTATACTGTGAACATGATGAAGTCTTAATAGTTAACTACATCTAATTTGATACCACATTTAACTTCAATGCTGAGCGAACTGTAAAGTACTAATGGTATTCTGTTTTCTTCCTTTTTAGAAAAGCTCACTTTTCGGGACATAGTATCGCCACAAGAGTTCAGGCAGGGAGAAGTTGCAGAAGTTGTTTGCCGTGTCACTAGTTCACCTGCTCCCATTGTCAGCTGGCTGTATCGGAATGAAGAAATATCAACTCTTGCTGACAGTTAGTATTTTGGTAACTCTTTAAGTTATACATTTTAACTCGCATTGAAATGTTGTTGTTGAAGAAAATGACATTATAACATTGTAATTATGGAGTGCATTTTGACTAGTCCATCAATTAAGTGGAGTTTAACCAAGTGCTGTGTTCTATTAAGAATCTGTATGCTATAGTATCCGTCCTTTTTCTAAAGTTGGGAATTTTGTCTAGCTATGCCATGAAGGTCCAAATGTGCATAAGATTATTTGGAACTATTCTGCAGGAACTCTTTCTGGGCTACCGTGCATGTGGGAGCTGAACATGTTTTTAAAACATACTCGGATAAAATTCTTCATGCTGGCAAAGCTGTGATGCTTCCTCAGAGTGTAGAATTTACTGAGCAAACACTGATGGACTTCATATACTTGCACATTAGCTCTGAGACTTGTAGGTAGATAGGCTTGTTGCACTGTTGTGAGCATTAATTTATGTAAGTGTAAGCTACATTTAAGTTACAAACAGTAGGAGATATAGGTGATCTGTTTAGGATAGATTCCTAATAGGTAGACTATAAGATTTGTTGAAGATGAATCTCTCTGATTCTGTAAATTGACCTTGGAGAAGTTTGTCTGTGTAGAAATGGAGCACAATAAGACAGATGATGTTAAGATTTGAAAAAACAGAAGTAATCAAAAGTCTATGCTGCAAAATTCTTACCTTTAATATAGAATAAAATGCTATTACTTTATAATATTTGCTATACTCGTGAGAATATCTCCTCCTAGCTGTTAAGCTGTGTAGGGACAGGGTCAGGAAAGCCAAGGTCCAGCTTGAGCTAAACTTGACCAAGAAGAATGAGAAAGGTTTCTATAGGTAACTCAGACAGGAAAGGAATGTATACTCCCCTAGGTGAGTGACAAAGGCAAAATGGTAACTACAGATGAGGAGAAGGCTAACTCAAAGTACTCAACAATTTTTTTTGCCTCAGTCTTCTCTGATAACAGCTCATCACCCAACCCTCAAACAATTGGATTGGAAGGAGGGGGCTGGGCAAGCAATGACTCTCCCACTGTTAGGGAAGATCAGATTCGTGACCACCTGAGGAAACTGAACATCTGAAAATCTCTGGGTCCTGATTGGATGTATCCCAGAGTCCTGAGGAAATTGGCTGATAGTCACCAAGCCACTCCTGATGATATTTGAAAAGTTATGGCAATCAGGTGAAGTCCCTCATGACTGGAAAAATGGCAGCATCACACCCATTTTTAAGAAGGGTATGAAGGATGACTGTGGGAACTGCCAACTTGTCAGTCTCACCTCTCTGCTGGGAAGGATTATGGAGCAGATCCTCCTAGGAGCAATGCTAAGGCACATGGAAGACAGGGAGGTGAAATGAGAGAACCAGCATGGCTTCACCAAAGGCAAATCCTACTTGAGCAACCTGGTGGCTTTCGATGATGGTGTCACTGCGAGGACAAGGGAAGAACCACTGATATCATCTATTTGGATTTCAGTAAGGCACTGTACCTCTCAACATACTTTTCTCCAAATTGGAAACATGTGGATGTGATGAATGGACTGTTAGATGGATGAAGAACTGACTGCAGGATCGAACCCAGAGAGTGGTGGTCGATGGCTCAATGTCTGGATGGAGATGAGTGATGAGTGGTGTCTTCCAGGAGTTGGTGCTGGGGCCAATACTCTTTAATATCTCTTCATCAGCGAACTGGGCAGTAGGGCTGAGTGCACCTTCAGCATGTTTATGATGACAACAAGCTGTGGGGTGCAGTTGACATGCCCAAGGGACAGAGTGCCATTCAGAGAGTCCTAGACAGGCTTGAGCAGTGGGTCCAGGAGAAGGAACTCATGATGTTCAACAATGCCAAGCGCAAGATACTGCACCTGAAACAAGGCAACTCATACTACCAATACAAGCTAAGAGATAAAAGGTTTGAACACAAACCTTTCAAAAGTCAAAAAATACCTGGGGGTACTGATGGATGGAAAGCAAGACATAAGGCCTCAATGTGCCCTCACAGCCCAGAAAGTCAGCTGTATCCTGGGCTGCATCAAAAGAAGTGTTGCCAGCAGGTTGAGGGAGGTCATCCTGCACTTCTACTCTGCATTGGTGAGGTCTCACCTGTGGTACACTTGTAGTGTGTCCAAGATGTGAAGTCCTCAGTGCAGAAAAGATATGGACCTGTTGGAGTGTATCCAGAGGAGGGCCACAAAGATGATCCAAGGGATGGAACACCTGTCCTACGAAGACAGGCTGAAAGAGTTGGGGCTGTTCAGCCTGGAGAAGAGAAGGCTGCAAGGTGACCTGACAGTGGCCTTTCAATATCTAAAGGGGAGCTACAGGAAAGAAGGGGACAGACTTCTTCTTTAATAGGGTCTTTGGTGAAGATCCAGGGCAAATGGTTTCAAACTAAAAGAGGGGAGGTTTAGATTGGGTATAAGGAAGAAATCTTTTACAGTGAAAGTGGTGACGTACTGGCAGAGGTTGCTCACAGATGTGGTTGATGCCTTGTCCTTAGAGACTTTCAAGGTCAGTCTGGAGCAGGCTCTGAGCAACCCGATTGAGCTGTGGATGTCCCTGTTCATTGCAGGGAAGTTGGACTAGGTGACCTTTAAAGGTTCCTTCCAACTCTGAGGATTCTATGATTCTACTGTATCCATTATATTATTCTTCATCAAGAGTTGAAAAAGTATGCAGTCAACGTCTCCCATTCCTTTTTTCCACTGATAAATGAGCTTTCAGTGTTTCAACATTTTAAAGAAATGTTCTCTGTTTCTCTCATCTGTCTCACACATTAACAATATACTTTAGCAAAAAGTTCACCAAAGTTAAAAGATCTCAGCTTTTCAAAATGTCTTGAAGCACAGTTCTCTGGGAATTGGAAAGCAACAGGAAAGAGGAAATGATTTCATTTGTTTGTGGTAGTGTGTGTAGTGGCATTAATTTTCAAGTTTGACTTTAAGAATCTATATATCATTAATGTAAACACATTGACACCATCAGTGTCCTGTAAACCTCCATCAGATGAAGCACAATTAAATGTTCTCTTTACATTTCTGTCTTCATTTTCTGATAGAGTCTCTGGTAATGAAACTAAATTCACATAGCATTAAAAAAACTTTTTTTTTTTTTTCCTGTGAAGACGTATATACATATGTTCTGTGAACAAACTCTTAGCTGTTTTGAAATATAAACACTGTGTTTGTTTTGTGTTGTGAGGAAATGGCTGTTAACACCACTTAATCTTTTACATTACTTTCTAGATCGATTGGCAATATTAGCAAACAATAATCTTCAGATTCTTAACATCAATAAAAGTGATGAAGGAGTATACCGTTGTGAAGGAAGAGTGGAAGCCAGAGGAGAGATTGACTTTCGTGATATAATTGTTATTGTGAATGGTAAGGAGTAAAAGTTAATGAGTTGACTTCTTAATTTAGCTGATTATCATAGCCTTAATTATAAAACATATTAGTTTCTAACAGTCCTAATTAAATTGATTAATAAGGATTTCATGTTTGTTCAGTATTGTTTTCCTATAAAGGTAATTACTTGCTATTAAAAAAAAAATTTTACACAGTATATAAGTAGAATTCATTGCATTTCATAGTTTCGAAGTATATTATTATGCAAAAGCTCAACTGTTATTAATAATTTGAACAATACTAACAATCACTATGAAGCTTGAGTTTCAGGTTACAATGTGTAGTTATTTATTTCAGTGTGTTTTTCAGTGCTAGTGTTACTTACTGTTAAAAACCTTTTGATTTTTCGTAGTAATTCATCTTTACTCCATTGTACGTATTTTATTAATTACTTCTGTTTAAAACCATCCCAAAAATCGTGAATACATTTTATTAAGAAGTATTGCTTATTGATCCTTAACATTTTATTTTTAATGTAGATTAAAAGGAGTTATCTGATAATTGGCATTTTAACATTTTATTAGTTTCTTTAAAAACTCTAGGAAGGAACATGAGAAAATGTGGACAAAATAGAGCATTTAGTTTACCCTCTCTCTTAAATTCAGGGTTGGCCTGTTGAAAAATAAATATATCTTCATATGTGGTCTAGAAAAGACGCAGTTCATGAAGGGCATTTTTTGTCTACCCCATTCTGTTTAATGTCAGTATTTCAATGAAGCTGCTTCCATTGTGCCATTAGTTCCTGAGTTATAAATGCTTTATCCTTGACTGGTCCTCTGCACATCTTGGTTTACATAAGTTATTATATAAGTTGAATTCTCAGTTAATTGCATTCTGGCCCACATTATTTAATCCCTGTAGTCAAGCAGCAATATTTGAAAGAGAACTCTAGGAGTTTTTAGACAGTGTGCAGACTGTGACAAGCAAATGGGTGGTTAACTGGTGTGTTGTGATAAAATATAACAATATGTGCCCCATGCAATGAAGACCCTTAAACTAATTACTGTTTGTTTTTAAGCAGATTACCTCTTGACTTCTGAGTATATTCCAACAGTTCCTTCACTTGATAATATTTAAAATGCTGAATGACGTTTTATTCTACTACTATTTGTATATATGTATACAAACCTACATTTTGAACACCTGTCATTTCTCTTTTATATATGCTGTTGAGCTGAGTGAGAGTGAAACCTGGAACATCAGATTTCAAACTGTGATCCCACACCACATCTTCTATTGGTAGATTAGATCTACAAATTTCTTTTATATATATATATTTGTTATTACTCTGGACAAGAACGCCAACACTCACTTCAGTCTAGAGTTTGGAGTTCTGTAGTGTTGTGAGGAAAAGAGGTTTCCAACAGAGATTCTAACATTGTTGCTCATGTAGAGTGGTATCAATTAAGAGCTATTTTCCACTTAATTTGTATGGGAATAAATAGCTTTTCAGAGATAAAAGTGAGTGTATTTAACCCAACCACAAATGAGTTTTATATTAATATCGAAAATCAGAAAGATATAAAAAATTTTAATGCTCTTCGGTGAAAAGATGAAAAATGTTATCAGTGAGTTGCACTTAAATGTACTGAAAGTCTGGACTTTTCTATTTTGCTTTAAATTAGAAATGTGAGAAACTTGCTAGTGTCTTGCTTATTATATCCAAAACCATTTAGCTTTTCCTCTTTTAGGTTCATTCTTTAGCTGTACATAAAAGTGCAGAACTGAGATAAACAGGCTTCACTTCCCAGAAAGAGCTGTAAGAAAACGGATATTTGATTTAATTGTCATCACAGTGTCTCTGGGAAGATTGAAACACTAAAGTAATTTGCTGAAATGGGTCATGGTCCTGTAGTTCTTAGTTGGGAGTAGAGAAGAAGCTGCTGCTTTTGGGGAAGGATTGATTAGTCATCTCATGTCACTAACCATATTTTCAGATCTAAATGTTAGAATGCACTACAGAATGTCTAAAGTCTACAAACGCTTTCTGTGCGACACTTTGAAATGCAAGATGGACAAGTTACTACAGCACAACAGAATGGTTTTTATAAGCTGAGTACTGCAATTTTAAGTAGGAAAGAATTGATCTGTGAAATATGTAAATTTCAACACACGTTGACAAAGAGTCAAAAGTACGGAAGAACATTTACTTACTACTCATCAGTGATTCTGGGTCACTGTTTTAATAATTTAATGTGTTCAAAGTTCAGAAGTTGGAATGGTTTTTGAGAGAGAAACTTAAAGCTAAAATATTTGTATTATTTAAAACAACAGAAACTGATTCTCAACAGTTTGTGAGAAAAAATGTGGAGTTACAGAGGTAAACCATAAGCAAATTCATTGGGGTTGCCTTCTGTCCTCTACTGAAAATTAAAGCTAAAAAGGATAAATCTGAGCCATTCTAATGACAGGGTATTCTTACTAGCAGAAAGCCGTATTTTGTGTGTTTTTTTCTTCCTCTCATTTATTTTCCATGTTATCTTACTTCCAGTTTGCTGGAATTATTTTTCTTTGTTTATTTACGGGAGAGTTTAATGGAAACAGGGCAAGTGTCTTAAAATTTCGTATGAACAGAGATATTAAAAGCATCCTATGAGTTGTTCTGTCTTTAATATTACTGCTATTTTTTCTGTTGGGCAGAGAGGTTCTCTGTGAACGGTTTTAATTTCATTATTGAATTTATCTCATAAAGGACAGACAAAATATGTGATCCGCAGAACACAATTACCAAAACAGGTTGCAATTCCTAAATAGATTATTAAAATAAATGAAAATAATTCCTAAAATGGATTATGTCCATTGTGTCTGTCACAGTTTATGTTCTTTAAGCTGGTGGTAGTCATACCCAGGAAATTCAATAAAAAGAATGAAGTATGTTTAGTAGATAATGCTATGTATTGACAGCTATTTTTTAAGCAATGTCTGGTATCATTTGCGTAGTTCTATGTCCACTGTGTAGTTGAGTAAAAGAGAAAGAGACTATATTTTCATTGAAAATAATTAAATTACCAACAGTAACTCTTTGTGTGTGGTAGAGTACATACATAACTGCTAGGTATGACTTCGTTAGCTTTAAAACACTCTGTAAGAAAATTGGCAGCTATCAAACAAGACTTATGTTGAATTTATCACAGTGCAAAGAAGTCATAAATGCCTGACAATATTAGAAGTCTATCACTGTCTGTTTAAGATAAAATACAAAAATACTGATAACTGATTCATATTGTGTAAGTAAAAATTCCGAATTTAGCAAAGGATTCTGTGCTTTAAATTTCTTCAGAAACATAAAGAATCTTGTATGTTCCATTAATGGGAAATAATGTTTTATTCTCCAGTTCCCCCTGCAATTACCGTGCTACAGAAATCTTTTAATGCCACTGCAGATCGAGGAGAATCCATAACTTTGTTTTGCAGAGCCACTGGATCGCCTCCACCAGAAATAAGTTGGTCTAGGTAAGTTCAGTTGAGATCTGCACATCATAGCACATTGCTTTTTTTCTGTCGTGATTTAATGTAACACTCCATGAAGTAAGCAGTGCAATCTTAATTATTTGCTGAATTTTAAAACGGTTTGCTATTTAGTTATCCTCTTAATTTCTGAAACTAGATATAGCATTAACAAATGAATTATTATGATAATACATGTATAAAATAAGAATCATTATAATAAGTGAAAACACACAGAAATGCAACTGTACTCAGGTTACTATGAAAGTGAGATAAATTAAAAATGTAAAATATTCATATGTATAGTAAAGTATTCATATGATTTCTTCATATTTGAACAAAATCAAGGTTGAAGCAATTAGTCCATTTTTCCAAGAAAATACAAACAAAAAACTTAAAACTTTTGCATGGAAGTACTTCGCGTAAAAACTGAACATACGTATGTACATACAAACACATACAGTTTGCAATAAATAAATAACCAATACAGATCAGCAGTTCTAGTAACAAAAATAACACTTTATCTTTCTGTAAAAATAACACATTTTTAAATCTGATTCTAATCCTAATTCTGCATTTCAATTACATTCTCATTCAGAAGGAGATCAGAAGGCTCCAAACAACCCTACCATTGCGAATGCTTCATGGAATAAGTTTAAAGTGTTGTTTATATTTTTTTAAACACGTAATATATTTTGAAATATGGAACTGCTTTTTAAGTTTGTGTGTTCTTTGATGGTGTCATCGGAATGAACACCAGGGATATTTGGGAACATATACTATGTAACTGTTATAAAAATGCAAATAATTGCATCCATACATTTTATTTCAGGTCTACATTTTATAAATGACTTAGGGATTCCTATCAGTTATTAATCTCCTTTGGAGTCTTTGAATAATTTTATTGATTTTTAAATGTTAGCTTCCTTTGACTGACACCTTTATCCTAACATGTCATAAGGCAAACATAGAGTTAAATTTTTCTCTTTTACAATTTCAATGGCAGACACAAATAAATAGAACAAAAAGTTAATTCTTTCGTGTGGCCTTTTCGTAAGACAAACCAGTGCTGACTTTTTTTACTGTTACAAAAAAAACTGTTTACAGATGTGTTTTTTCCAATGCTTTATAAGTATTACAATATGTGTACAGGCTAAGTGTCTTGGAGAGACATTTGTCTGTGTTGATGTACTGCCTTTTTAATTTTCCTTTAGTTTGCCTGTCACTGGGACAACCAACTGTTTTACACCATTCATTATCTTTCATACAGATTTTACAAAAGCTTTTCAGGTAGTGTAATCTGTACTGATTTTAAACAAGAATATATAGGTCATTTCAGAAACCAAGTGAGCAGTACTGGCTTGTGTTTCCCTTCCCTCTTTATTTTTATTTTATTTTATTTTATTTTGTCTTACTAGGCTATATATTCTGAGTGGGTAGAAAACATTCTTTGTTTTTGTTTTTTTTTTTTTGCTAGTGGTAAGAGGTTGTAAGTTGATAAGTAGAAAAGGTCCCCAAAGTCTGTGACAGGAAATGTGACAGGTATGGAAATGGGAAAAAAAAAGATGGAAGGAGCTCAGTAATTATATTCTGGAAGGAACAAACTTGATCTAATATTTCGGAATCATATAATTATTTGGTTTGTAAGAGACCTTAGAGGACATCTAGTTCCAACCCCGGTATAGGCAGGGACACCTCCCACTCGACCAAGTTGCTCAAAGCCCCATCCAGCCTGGCCTTGAAAGCTCCCAGGAAGGGGGCATTCACAGTCTCACTGGGTAACTTGTTCCAGTGTCTCACCACCTTCACAGCAAAGAATTTCTTCCTAATATCTAGTCTAAATCTACCCTCTTCCAGTTTAAAACCATTTCCCCTGGTCCTGTCACTACCTGCCCTTATGAAAAGTCCCTCCCCAGCTTTTCTGTAGGCCCCCTTCAGGTACTGGAAGGCCACTGTAAGGTAGTGCTAGAGCCATCTGTTCTCTAGGCTGAACAGCCTCAGCTCTCTCAGCCTTCTGGTCATCTCTGTGTCCCCCACTGGACCTGCTCCAACAACTTGATGCCTTTCTCGTGTTGGGGACTTCAGAACTTTATGCAGTACTCCAGGTGGGGTGTCACAAGAGCAGAGCAGAGGGCAGAATCACCTCCGTCGACCTGCTTCTCTTGATGCAACTCAGCATACAGTTGGCCTTCTAGGTTGCAAGTGCAATTGCCAGCTCATGTTGAGTTTGCATCAACTGCCATCCCAAATCTTCCTCCTCAGGGCCAATCACCTCATCTTTATTTTCCGTGTTGATTAGTAGAACCTTCAGGAGGATCTGCTCCATGATTTTGCCCAGCACAGAGATGAGGCTGACTGGACTACAGTTCTCTGGATCTTCTTTTTTCCCTTTTATGTTTCTCCTTTTCCAATCCGTGGGACCTTCACCAGACTTCCATGACCTTTCAAATATGATGGATAGCAGCTTTGTAACTTCACCTCCCAGTTCCCTCAAAACTTGTAGATGGAACTCATTGCATCCCATGGATTTGTGCACCTTCAATTCAGTTCTTGAACTTGATCTTCACTTAGAGCTAGCAGATCTTCCTTCTCCAAGTCTTACCTTTGCTTTCTATGGCTTGGGTGGTGTTGCTGGAACCCTTGCAGGTGAAGATTGAGGCACAGAAGTCATCGAGCACCTCCGTTTCCTGGGGTGTGCGTCTGTGGGTCCTATTAGTCACAGAACTGGGCCGAACCGTCCCATAAACCGTTGACACCATCCCCCCATCCTAGCCTTTTTTGGATTGATGGGCCTGTGAGCCTGCTTTCCCCCTTTCATGGACACAGATAGATCTAGAGATAACTGTGACAGTTTGTCAGTGTGTGTTCAGACGTTTTATTTACCTTGTCTCAGGTTATCCGTTTGTAAAATGAGCAGGTATAGTGAAGTGATTTAATGGAAGTCTGTTGTATGAATTCATAGCTATGCTAAGGAAGAAAGAACAGAGAGGTACAAACTATTATAGAACAAGATAAAAAAAACTTGTGGACATCCCTGTTGTTATTTAGGAATAAACACAAAGTTCACTAAATACGAGGAATAGAAATATATGTTCTTAATCCCTCTTAGAACACTTAAAAGTGTAATGAGTGTTCTGGAGACCTGATTGACAGAAAGGATGTGGACAAGTTCTACTTCAGTTGTTTAGAGGATTTCCATTATACTATCTAGAAAGCAGTACCTCTGTACCTGTTGACATGATTCAGCAATATTAAGTAACAGTGGAATGTTCTCTGTATTTTTTTTCATTTTTTTTAAGATATGCCCTGACTCCTAAAAATCTCTCATTGGCTCTAGTGAATTTTCTTTAACAAGGCTTGCATAATTTGGGTCTCTCATTGTATAGCCCTACCTTCCTTACAATCCTTTGCTATTTTAATCAGTTGAAATCTGATTTTCTTTTCTCTTGATTCTTTTTCACTTTCCAATGAGCTGATTTAACAGAATGTTAAATTCTGCCTGGACATGAAAAAAGTCTTGAAAATCAAATGCTAGTGATATTGAAGTGTCTTACATTCTTCTCCATTGAATTAATCAAGTTGCTGATCAAAACTGTAGTTTCAAGCTTAAACATCTCTTTAGACCGTATCTAGTATGACAGAGCTTTTACTAGTTGTGTTGACCCTTTTTATTTCTAGCTGTATTTTTCTCATTCTAGAATGGAGGCATCTGAGCTGTTGTGTCGACATTACTCAAAAATGCCATAGGTCATTTTCTAGTTAGTCAGCTTGAGGTACCTAGAAGAAGGGTTGTCAACATTTAGTTTTGGTTCACTGTATTTAATATGTAAATGTACTTTGTTAATATTTCATGGACTAAGGGAATGTAATTCTTCCTCTGCTTAACTGATATTACATTACACCATGGCCTTCGGAGAAACAATACGCTAATAGAAATAAATTAGCGGTGGCTGAAATATAATTTAAACGTACGGGTCCTGAACTGGTAATGTTTACTCATGGGAATAGTCCTACGGAAAACACAGTTATTGTTTACATTTGTGGAGATCATTTACAGTAATAAAGTTTAGTGGGATCTGTTCCCTATGTCTCTACCGACAGGGCATAGAACTATCTAACAGAAGAAATAATAAAAGAAACAGTCTTCTTTTAACACGTTGTGTTTTCTTGTTCACCCGTATCAGTGTTAATCTGAACCTTCGCTTTTCCTAGAAGGTCCATGGTAATCTTCATGATCTAATTTCTTCTCATATGCGATCATAGATACAGGTAATGGATGAGATGAAGGACACTTGGACACTACTTTTGACACTCAGAATGGTCTCTTGTCTCCTACAGAGATTATTGTAATTTTTATGAAAACACTTAAGTGGAAAAATAACAAAAATGTTAGTGAAATGCAAGATAAACAGATGCCAGGGTACACCATTAATATTCCCAAGGAGGGGAAAAAACAAACAATATATGATGTTTTCACTTTTAGGGAAAGTATTATTTTAGAAAATATGAAGTATAACAATATATCAGCATTCTATGAGCAGAAAGAATGTGAACATGGTTTCTGTTCAAATCTTGAAGTAAAATGGCCATGAAAACAGGGATATGCATTGGTTTCCTTTCACAAAGAGCTTGGCCATCAAGTTTATTAATGCTGATGAAAATCAGGCAGTCTTCACATAGGCATATGAGAACACACTGGTGATTCAACATAAGTAAGGACAAAAGAATCCTAGATCAAACGAGTCAGAATGAAAAAAAAAAAAACAAAAAAACAAAACCTAAGTTAGAATTGCTCCCATTTAGAAGAAACCATTACAATAAGCTTGTGTATGCCAAGGTACTGAGATGGAGTGGTCAAGCCTTGATCAGCCCTCAAAATTGTTCACAGGTTTTATTATTTCTGTACCATCTGGTCAGGGGTAATTATAATGTCTGGAAATATGTCTGCTTACTAAATTGTGGCTAGCTAACAACATCTGAAAGGAAATAACTCAGAAGAGTTCTTTATGTGCCAGGAGGCTCTATGTGTAAGTAATATAAAATTATTTTTCTGAATCGATACTTTATTACTAATGTGAACTGCAATGGTAAACTTAAAAATGTGCTTTTGAATGTTTCATTTATACAACTATGTATTTGTCTGATTTCTTGAGCGCAAGTCATGTATTAGAGTTCTATTCACAAGTATTTCTTCTACCATTAAGTCATGAAAATTTAATAATAAAACTATTATAGTATTTTTAATACGTATATTTTAGAATCTGACAATAAAATTGTGAACCTGGGGTCTTGAACATCAAAATGGAGCCCAGAATGCATTGCTTATGTCTAGAATGTGCACATTCTTATGGAAAAAAAAAACCACGACACTAATCCAGCAGAACAGTTGTCATCATGCTCAAATTAACTCCCTTCTGCACACACTGCCGGTTTATGTCACGTGAGTTAATGCATTTTTCTTAACAGCATAATAGCACTTTCTTACAAGATTATTTAAAATTGATTGGTGCTTTCATTGTGCACTATTGCACTTTGGATCCCTCTGATTTTTTTATTTTTTTATTTTTTATTTTTTTAGGAATGGTAAACTTATTGAAGAAAATGAAAAATACATATTGAGAGGGAGCAATGCAGAGTTAACAATAAGAGATATAAAAAATATTGATGCAGGTCCTTATATCTGCAGTGCTAAAAACAAAGCAGGAAATGATAAAAGACAGACATTCCTTCAAGTTTTTGGTAAGTACTGTATATAATGTACCATCCTTCCTTTCGCGAGAGGGAATTAAAATTATATTTCCCAATTTTCAATGGAGCAGTATTCCTGCAGTGTGTCTACTGATGCAGGAAACCACTCTATAATTTTATAACTTTTTCCTTGCTATTGACCACTTTAACCTTTAATCCTGAATCCAATTTTGAAAAGGCTATCTTTACTATTGTACTATTCAGATACAATACAATGGTGTGTTAAATTGTTAATTCACTCTGGTTTGCCTTTAGAAGATGGCTGCTTGCAAGAAAACCAAAGAGAGAATAAAAGAAAACTATTGAAAGGGGCAACATGGTTATTTGTCCTTTCAGTCACATTTTGTTGTTTTTGAAGAATACCATGCAGAGGTGTTCCTGATTTTGTATCTGTTTTTGTCTTTTTAGTTTTGCTTTTTTTTTTTAAGTACGTGATTGCATACTCACTAAAAATTCTCTGATATTAAGAAAAAAGAATTTCAAAATCAAAAAGTAATAGAAACATGAAAACTTACCTATCTTTCTATGCCTTACTACCCAATATTGAAAAACCCGAAGTTTTCCTGACTGTGTCCTTTACACAGAACACTTGACTGTTTTCTGAGCATTTGTGTAGTTTTGGCTTCATAAGAGTAGACATCTGTAAGAATATAGATCTCCCTCAGAATCATTCTGCAGGATCAGGGCCATAGCTTATTTATGAAACTGGTGCAAATTAAGCAATCTATTTTTTTTTTTAAACTTATTTTTTCTTATGTTTAGTATCAATCTATTGTTAGTGTACCTCTACACTATATAATTAAATACAGCCTTTAGTAGAGAGGAAGATCACTTATATTTGAACATCTAAAGCATGTACTGAAGACAATGGGAAATGAAATTTTGCATCCCTATTAAAACTAGTAGTTACCTATACAAAGCAAAACAGTTCCAACAGAAGAGGCTAACCTGATGTCTTTCACTTGAAGCTGATGGATTGGTTGATGCTGTTTTCTGAATTTGAAGCTTGAGGCTGAAGCCATCTATAAACTCAACAGATTGACTGTCTGTGTGTCTTTCCCTGTCTTTCCCTGGGAAGCTCCTAATTGTTCCAGACTGTGCAGTTTCTAGTCCTCCATATACATACACATACATAGATGTGTTGCCTAAACATTGGGATACTTATTGTTCTGTGGTGATTGAGTGATCTTCTGAATTACTTTTCGAAAGAGTGAAAATAAAGCACTTTTAAATTTTATTCTTGCAAAATTAATTGATTAAATAGATATCATGAGTTTGTTCAGTCCTTTTGAATCTGTATTTCCTTTTTGCTTTCACAACATCCTGTGCTCCTAAAATCCTTAGGTAGTTTCTTTCTTGCATGAAAAAAAGTAATTCTTTTGCTTAATCTGGATGGAGCCTGTTTGACTTGGCTTTGTATCAGAAAATAAGCTTCTTACCTCATTTGTAGTCTTAAAAGCTCACTGGGATTTTAGTCTAATATTTCCTTTACTAAAATCACCTCTCTGAAAATGTGGAGCAGAGTTGCTGTATTTTCTCCTACTAATAACTCTCCTTCTTTTGTGTCTTTCACCCAGATTAAACTTGCCAATGTGTGTACAGCCAACCATTATTATACTTTTCTTCCCCTTAAATGCATTGAAAAAACTGCAGGCTGAAAATGGCAAGGCAGATGGCTAATTATTATAGCTCGGTAGCTCACAAACAGACAGTTTATGTTAAAATAACCTATTAAATTACATGTATTTTTTTTTCCACTCTATTAGGTTGTTTATCTCACCTACCTGCTATCTCTAATCTTAATTTACAATTCAAGCTTCTTGAGACTATTGTCTCCATGAGTACATCAGGGCTCTGGCAGTATTGAAGACTCTAATGCTAACTGTAAAGCAGTAATAATAACAGTAATGTTATGGAATTCACCATTTTAAATTCCTTGTACTCTGCATTTTGGTATGGATGTGGTCAACATAGTGCCATCTAATATCTGCAGATGTTCATTTTCCATACGTGACTTTGGTTTCTGTTTCTGTTTTTTGTTTTTTGTTTTTTGTTTTTTTTTTTTTAATTGCTTCAGGTATCAGTGTTTTAAAAGCTATTTTATTTTCATATCAAATTGTTATCCAGACTTTTTCTGGAACCATAACACATATATAAAGTCCTACATACTTCCACCCTGCTCCCTTCAGTTTTTAACTGTGATTGCTGCATTTTATTTGTTCTCCATAATAAATTTTAGAGGAGAGGGGAAATCCCTGACACTGAAGATTTCTTAATGATCATGCTTATAGTATCGTCTGACCACATACTATTTCTGTTTCCCAGATTTTCTTAAGTATAATCTGAAGCTTGTATAGCAGGAAGATTTATTCAGCTGTGTGCAATGTAAATTTAATTGATTATTGTGGAAAGAATATACTGTCATTCCTGTATGATTTGTCATCAGACGGATGAGAAGATAGAAAATGTAAACGACCTCTTCTGACTTTTCCCCTCTTATGCTTATTCCAAATAATTAAAATAAAAATATTTCGCTTTCTTCTGCTCTCAGAAGCTCTGGACCTTTTAACCAAGCAGGCTAGAATCTATACTGAAAATGTGGTGTTAAGGTTGCCTACATTTTTCACTATTTTCAAGCTTTATAGCCACATGTTTTACTTTTCCAGTGCCTTGAACACATCTAGTTATTTTTCTTTCATCTTAACAAGCAGATAAATGTATGTTTTGCTTTGTTTTCTGTGGTAGCATTCAATACATGTGTAGGTGCACTTTGTTTAAATCTACTGATATATCCACCCAGGGAATACTATGTACTTGTTTATAAAACTATCTGTGCTTGCTCATCCCTACGCCAGCTGCAGTTTCAGGAAGTGCAAGTCATCAATTGAAGATTCAGTGTTAAACATTCATATGCCTTCTGTATTCCTTCTTCCCTTTCTTACCTGTGTGAAACAACTCTAATTCTTCAAATAAAAATGATGCTGTCTATAAAAGTGATTATGCCATATCTGTCAGAGGACAAGCCTTAAATCCCTTCAGGTGGAAATTAGTAATACACAATAGTGCATTTATCATGTGCTAAATCAAGTCCTAATGTATGAGCAAGGTTGGTTTTTTTTTTTCTTTTTTTTTTCTTTAAGACAGGACTCAAATTTCGAGAATCAATTGTTTATATATTTCTTTGTTGGGCTCTAGCTTATGTACAAAATTCAAATTGTACCAGCAATTTTCAGGAGGACAGAGTTGCAGTTTTGCTACCTGATTCAGCTGTGGATGTGCCGGAAAACAGCATATCAGGCAATGATTTCACCGTATAATAAATCCATGTTTGCACTGATAGCATTTATTTTCAAGGGATATAATCAGGAAAGTCTCAAGCTTTCTATTTGTTCTGCTGAATCTCTTGTTAATGATATGGGTAGAACTTTGTGAATTCATTAAAATATATATATTTTCCAGAAATAAGTTGTAAATAGCAAATAACAGATATAGAGTCTCAGATTGCTATCCATGTTCTTAAGCTTTGTAGGGGAGGCTGTAAAGTACACAGCAGTGAGCATAAACTGTCAGTTTATAAGGTATTCTCCCCGTGTTTGAAATCTATTCAGAAGAGACCAAGGAGGAAATTTTGAACTAAATTATTGAGGAAGTGGTAGAGATCTGAAGACCAGACTTCTCTGCTCAGAGAACAAACTTTCCAACCAGCAAATGTTATTTCTTTCTTTGGCAGCATCACTCTTGCTAATATTTCAAAAGTAACATCTGTAGTGATGAGCACTGTGATGAGAATAATAGAATAGTTGAGCTTGGAAGAGATCTCTGGAGGTCATCTGGTCCAAGTCCCCAGCTACACACAGAGGTACCTAGACCAAGTTGCCCAGGACTATGTCCAAAGGCAGTACTGCTGGCTTCCAAGTAAAATCATTTTAATGAAGCTCAAGCATAACTCCTTTTTCAAACGTAATTCCTTTCTGAAGTGCTCAAGCCTACTTTCATTTCGGTCAGATCATTTGGTTAAGAATTTTTTAAGTACATTATTATCAGATTGGATAATAGGAAAAAATTCTTCACTGAGATGGTGGTTAGGTACTGGGGCAGACTCTTCATGGCAGTGTTGTCATCACCAAGCCTGTCAGAGTTCGAGGGACATTTAGACTATGCTCTCAGCGATATTGTTTGATTTGTAGGTAGTACGATGTGTAGCCAGGAGTACAACTTGATTGTCCTTGTGCATCCCTTCCAACTCAGCATATGTTGTGATTCCATGATTATAACACAAATGCTTCAATTGAAGCATAATTTTGACCAAAGAAACTAGCAAAGGCCGGGAGGTCTTCTGGACTGACAGTCCAAGACCCTTTATTTTCATCTGTTTCTTTTTTGCTAGAATACTGAAAGTAAATACCATTTCAGTTTGAAAATGATCATGTCAGTTTAAAAAGAACAGTTTAAGAACTGAAAAAAAAAAATCCATTTCAGTATTTCTGTCAGTCGTAGTATTTGCTTTCTTGAATAAATGTTTTTTTATTTCTATGCAAAAGTATTTTAATATTTTCTAATGCCCAAAATGTAATTTAAAAGCTGTCAAACTATTAGTCAATAGCTTGTGACCTATTAAAATTAAGCAATTAAATAATATCTTTTCCCGTTTTCAGCTCTTCTTCCTAGTAATAACTGTCAGCTAGATACATTTGATGATTAATCAGTGCTTGTTCCTTTAAATGTCAGCCTTCATGTCTAAAATGTCAAGTTAAAACTTTGCCTTCTAATAATCTATTTGAAGAAGACTTTAAAGAAATTTAGAATATAAATCAGAGAGATAAAAATATAAATACTTTAAATTATATACTTTGGAAGAAGATGCATCATCCTGAGAAAATGAAATTGTCATGTATATGTGGGGAAACAATCGTTCTGATGAAGATAATGCCAAATTTTGCAAATTTCTTTCATAAAATACTACGTGTGATGCTTTTATTTGGATGATGTATCTGCCATACATTTTTCCTTGTTTTCAAGAATGATAATATATCAAAAGAAAGAAAGAATTGTTTATACTATAGCCAGGAGGCATGGCTATAGAAATAGAGTATCTGAGCTTAGTATCATAGAATGTTTCATTGACATTTGAATGATCCTAGAAGTGAGAGTTAATACTATAATTATTATGATGTTATCTATTATCTCAAATTCTTCTTTGCTTATTTCTCCAAAGTAGCATCCTTAGTTATACTACTGAGAGCAGTTACAGCTTTTCTCAACTGAATTGCTATCCTACCTTAATGCTTTGCTTACTGCCTTGTAATGTACTAAATAAAGATGGATCCAACTGATATTTATAGAGACCCTGCTCTCGCAGGATATTTTCTTCTTGTGCAGAGAGTCTCTCACCTTAGATTTATCTTAATGAAGGATATTAGAGCACTACTTTGCTAGGGAAAATATTACTTGTTTTTCATCTCTATACAGTTAACATAAAGTAGATTTTTTGTAATAGCCAAGGATGAACAGACTATATACAAGCAACTGAATGGCTATGGAGATAAGGAGTGAGAAGTGAGATCAAGAATGATGTGGTAGAAATGAAAGAAGATGATCTATCTGGATATAGCAAATTTGAACCTGGTTTTATCATTTTTCTTGGTGATACAAAATGCAGTATCTGTGAGACACTAATAATAAATTTCAATAGTGGTAAAAAAAAAAAAAAAAAGAAAAACGATACCAGATATAAGGAAAAAAAAATATCTATGCTGTGAGGACAATTTTTAAGATAATCCTCAACAAATCTGTGATCAATCTGATCTGATTGTCCTCATAGAATAGGACTGCAGCATCAGGCTGGTGAGAAAGATCGTGTAATCTATTCTTGGAATTTTTTTTAAGATAATCCTCAACAAATCTGTGATCAGTCGGATCTGAACAGAGTTTGCTGCATCGGTTTTGAGCAAGGAGTTGGAAAAGATGACATCCTAGTTTCCCTTCTAACTGGAATGACTCTCTTTCCCCTTCTGATCTATGAACGTAACGTGATTACATTTCTGCATAGTATATACTTCTAAAAATCTATTAGAAGATGCATTCACTCACTGTTTTATTTTGTGCTTCATGTAGACTATTAATCTAGCAGCATTTCATCAAAAACAAAATATTTGCATGGAAAATATACAATTAAATTTACTCATAGAAACCTAGCTCACTGTTTTTAAATGTAAACATATTGAATCATATTTCTATTACAGGGTTACATATTAGGTTTTCCAATGAGATGTGTGTCTCATTCAATTTGCAGATATTTGGAGAAGCTTGTTAGTGGTTAAATATGACTGAATATATAGTGCCAACACATTTTTTTTTATGAAGGTACTTGAATGCAATGGAAGAGAGTAATATTCTATGCATAGTTCTGCAGCTGAGTTCTTTTATGATATTGTACAGACCAGTCCTCTAAGAAGTGTTCCTATTTAACTGGAAGTAGCATTGCAATGTAAATAGCCTGTCAAGACACAGTATAGCTCGAGAGCTGTACCAGTATCTGTAAACTGGAATGATCTGAAGAATATGAACAGTTTCTGGACTTTTAAAAAATGTATTTTTTCACCAATTTACAGAGTAGCTAAATATATATATATATATATATATATATACATAAAGAATATTGTGTCAGGACTTTTCGTTTCTTAATAGTGTTAATAGTACAGTATGTTTGCTATCAGGAGATACTGTTAAACTCCGTTTGTGTAAGGCAGTTAGGTATTTCTAAAGACTCAAGGTAAACAATATTGACTTTATTTCAGCAGGGATAGAGTTAATTTCCTTCACAGAGGCTCATATGTCGCTGCATTTTGGATTTGTGATGAGAATAGTATTGATAATGTAGTGATGTTTTAATTATCACTGAGAAGGGCTTTGAAAGATCCAAGTACTTCTTTGTATCTTACATTGCCCTACCAGTAAAGAGCTCAGAGTGCAGAAGGACCTGGGAGGGGACACAGTCTGAACAGCTGACCTAAACTGACCAAAGGGATTTTCCCACAGTACATGGTGTTGTACTCAGTAATAAAAGTTGGTGAAAGAAAGAAGGAAGAGGGAATGCTGTTAGGCCATTTGTCTTCCCAAGTAACCATTACACATGATAGAGCTTTGCTTTCCTGGAAATTTATGAACATCTGCCTGCAAGATGGGAAGTGGTGTTGCTTTGCTTGTGCACACAACTTTCGCTGATCTAATAACTGTCTTTTATCACAACCCACAAGTTTTTTTTTATCTTTACCTTTCTAATTCTCTAATCCATCCCACTGAGAATGCTCTGCTGCCTACCAAGCTAACCCACAACAAATATTAATAATCCTGTATTATTCCAAGTCTTTGAAGACAAGCACAGATTATCTTAGAGTCACAGAACAGGTGAATCAGGAGGCATTTCTGGAGGTCATCTAGTGCAACCCCACTGCTTAGAGCAGCATTAGCCCGGGCAGATTGCTTGGGACCGTGTCTAGCTGTGTTTTGAATACAGTCAGGGATGGAGACTCTACAGCCTCCTGGGCTTGCTTTTGTGTTCGGCTACTCTTCACAGCAAAAAAAAGGTTTTGCTCTTCTTAAATGTTATTTCAATTTGTGTCTATTGTTTCTTGTCCTGTCTTGGCACCACTGAGAAGAGCTTGTCTCCACATTTATTCACCTCTGTCAGATACTTACACTCATGGTTAAGATTCCTCTGAGTCATCTCTACTCAGGGGCACACTGCTGGTTCGCGGCCAACTTCTTGTTCACCGGGACCTTCTTAGGCCCTCTATGCGTAGCTGCTTTCCAGTTGTTAAGCACCAAGCTCCTACTGTGACACAGAGTTACTCCTACTCGTGTTCAGAATTGCCATGGAGACATTGAGTCTTTGTTTCATTCCTGAAATGTCCTGTTCCCTAAGACACAAGAAGCCAGGAGAAAAGCACAATGACAGGGCCGTCAGGGCAAGGGCCTTGTTGATAAGGGCTTATCCCATTGAACTGAAGCAAGGGAGTAGGCAGCCCAGGGTCTAGCAGCCATGCTTAGACGAGAGTTCAGGTTGTCAAATGCAGAGAAGTAGCTGTTCTGCAACTTGGAATCAGAAAAGTTGATTGCTCTTATAGATGATCATGTTAAACCTTTAGGTAAACTGAAGTAAATGAATATAAATGCACTTTTTTAAAGTAAAAAAAAATATATTTTTACATTTTTTATGCAAGGTGAATAATATAATTTGTATTTTAACAGTACAGCCTCAAATAATACAACTTAAAAATGAAACCACATTTGAGAATGGGAAAGCCACCCTCATCTGTGAAGCAGAAGGAGAACCTATTCCAGAGATTACTTGGAAAAGGGCCATTGATGGAATAACTTTCTCTGAAGGTGACAAGGTAAATCAGCCTTTACAATATCTAAATATACATTGTTTTGCTACTCTTCATAAGCAGAAAGTGAACTTACAGAAATTGAAATTAATTTTAAGTGAAATTGGAAGGAACTAATATTTCCTAAGTTAATAAAAAAGATGTTTAAATTCCAAATTTTAAATTAACGGTTAAATTATAAAAACATAAAACCAAATACACACACACACGAAAAAAAAAAGAAAATTTAGAAAGGTAATACATAGATTTTCTTGACCATATTTGGAATTGGTCCAGTATTTCTCAAACTGCTGTGGAGCTTACTGAAGTCTGAAAAAAAAAAAAAAAAAAATCTTTTCCAGATAGTTTGGAAATCTTTTCACCTCACTTTTTTTATTTTTTTTAACTTTTCTCTTCTCTTACATTTTTCCTGCCAAAGAGCAAAGTTGTCTTTTACTACAAATTGAGCCCATTTTTCCTATTATGTTTCCATTTTCATGCTTTATTACAAAAATAAGTTGAGTAGAAAAAGATTGTAATGAAGAAAGTCAGTTGCTGTGGGAACAAAAGCTGTGAGGAGATGAAATGGTAAGCAAAATGGAAAGGTGTAACGTTATTCCTAATGAAGTAGATCTGTTTCTCAGGAGTGTTTTAAAAATAGTTTTCTTTAAATATTTGAACAAAAGTTTGCTTCTTAGATAAAATACAGATCTTGTCTTCACTACTTGAATTGTGAGATAGCATCTGTATGGATTGCTAATTCTGAATTTAGGCAAAATAATTAAACAGTCTGCTTGTAGATGTTTGCAAATTAATAGCTGTCACTTAAAAAAAAAAAAAAAAAAAAAAAAGTGATCAGATCAATCAGGGAATTAGATACAAAGTAAGTTTGCTGAGTTTATAGGGAGTTATTGTGCAAGGATTGTTCCGAAAGTAATGCCTCCTATTTTATTCTGTTGGTCCATAATGTCAGAGGTGAATGTTGATAGTGTGGCAGTAGAGGTTGAACCTTCCCACCAGTATTCCATTACATTTTAATGGACAGCAGAGCAGCAGTCTGACAGTGAAATACTGTCTGATATGGAAGTGTGTATGGAGCAAAGATATGGAATTTAATTTCTTCAGCTGGAAAACATTGTACTCAACAACGTGTGTTGATGCTTGCTGAATGTTCATGGAGACCAAACAGTGGATGTGAACGCAGTGAGACAGAGGGTGGTGCGGTTCAACAGTGGCGACAGCGTTGTGAAAGACAAGCCACATTCCAGATGGCCATGCACAACTGTCATACTGTGAAGAGCGTCTTGATCAGTTCACCCACACATATCAGGGGATTATGACTACGGAACTACGTATGGAGTTGAATATTGGCTTCAGTGTGTTGGAAACAATGGTGGCAGTGTTGGAAACAATGGTGGCAGTGTTGGATTATTGCAAAGTTTGCATCGGGTAGGTCCCATGAATGCTCACAAAGGAATAGCAGAAAAACTATTCAAGTTTGAACCAATGGGAAGCTGAAGATGGTGATTTCCTGGATTGCATCATTACGAATGATGACACATGGTGTCACCACTACAAGCCAGAGTCAAAATGACAGTCCGTGCTGTGGCAACATATGAATTACTCATTGAAGAAAATGTTTGAGATGCAGCCCTCAGTAGGTGAAGTGATACACACTGTCTTTTGGGATAGGAAAGGGGCAATCATTCTATATTTTCTAGAATTCAAATGAGCGATCAACTCTGATTGCTACATTGTGACACTGACTAAGCTAAAGGCATGAACTTCCACAGTCAGGCCTTCCACAGTCAGAGAAGAATACAACCTTTCTCTTCCAACACTGTAACACCAGGCCCAATACCATGGAAGACCATGGAGCACGTTGTCGTCCTTGTGTGCGCTGTCCTACCACACCCACTGTATAGTCCAGATTTGGCACCATCTGACTTCCATCTGTTTGGGCTAATGAAAGATTGACTGTGCGGGCAACATTTTCCTAGCAACAGTACTATCATAGCTCCTGTGAAATAGTGGGGCACCTCCACCACTGCAGATTTTTTTGAATGCTGCATGCAGGTTGTTGTCCACTACTAGTGGAAATAAATAGCTAGTGGTGACTGTGTAGATAAATAGTGTTTTGTGGCTGAGAATTTGTTCTATCAAACAATATTATTGTGCTCTTTGTTGTATTTTCCATAGAAATAGATAGGAGGCATTACTTTTAAAGCGACCTACGTGTATTAAGGAATTACTTATTGTTCTAATGGAGAATGTTTTTTCTTGTCAGTTCTCCTACTCCACCTCTCATGGCACTGTAGCAGTTTTTATATGAGGTTGTGCCTACCATTTTCTTGTTCTGTGATTTCCATTAAAGAAAAACATCTTTTTTTTCTTTTTTCTTTTTTCTTCTTTTTCCAAGTAGTTTTTCATTATTCAAAACAGTCTCTCTCCTCCTTAACTATTTCAAGTTGAAGATAATCTTTCTAATGCATCAAGTCTGCACTTGGTTCAAATGTTAAAAATGTGTTTTTTTTCACTTATGTTAGGAATACTCCTAAAATAGTTATATCAGAAAATGAAAGAAAATTGCAGAAACAAGCTAAACACATTGATGCCATTGAAATCTGTTATTTATCCAGTACTCATATAGTATGGTATTACATTCGTAATTCAAACTACAGATGATTAAGCTCTTTAGACTTGTCAGTATTATATAGGTATCGTTTTTTGTGTGTGAAAGATAAAAAGACCAAAAGTAGTTAGATGGTTTCATTTTGTTCTTGCCAGTGAAGGAACTTTCAATGTATTGCTCATGGCAGGCTTTTGCCAAATGTTGAATAACTGTTATGAAATACTTTATGTTCCGAGCTATAAAAAATGCTTCTTAATTTTCCACACGGTTTTGCAATACTCTAAGGAGGAAAGACTTGCTTAACTAGATCTTTCCTACCAAATTTTGTGAATAGGTTAATAGGAAACCAAACTGGTGATGAATAAATTGTTGAGTATTTCTTGAGTAATACAGCAGTGTCCTGCAACAAGAAAGAGAAGCAAAAGGTGAGTTGAAGAAAATAGAGGTTTTTATAGGCAATCATAAATTCAAGTTATTTATTATATGTGTTATAACTTGAAATAGTGTCCAGTCACCAGACTTATTTGCATAAATATAAAAAAAAATGTTTTCTACATTCAGTGAATTCATCTTTTGAATTTTTTAGTAGTGAAAAAAAATTGGTGCAGACTGTAGTTCATGAATACTTTTGTTGAACCAAGTATTGAGGGGATGGTAGCGTTTTTTTTTCTAGAAGAAGAGGTAGAAGAGGTAAGATTTGCTGTCAAGAGAACAGTTACCATGATAGTGAATAAAAATCACAAAGTGTTAATATTTTTAATTATTGTTTTGTTATTTTTAGAATATAGCTGCTCCGTCTTACTCTTGTTCTGCTAAAATGCAGGTATAGCTTGTGTGGTTAGTTATAGGATGGCTGTCTGAAATGTTTAACGGTTCCATACCTTTGGAATGTTGCCTGAAGGATTTCCTTGCCAGAAAAAAATGCAATGGAATTTTAATTTCTGAAAACCAAAATTAATTTGATCAAAGAACATATGGAAAGCTTATTATGTAAGGTGCAAATTATGTAATAACTCTTTCTTTCCTTTCTCTTCCTCCCTAAACATAGTGGATTGAACAAAATACTGCAAAATTTGTGGCATCCTTTGGTTTATGGGATTCTGATTTAACAAAGAGTAAATATCAGTGAGAGATATCTTTGTGATTTGTGACCATTATTTTTTCCTGTATGAAAGCTTTTTTTTTTTTTTTTTTTTTTTATTACTGGCTAATATGATTGCCTTCCCTTATAGGTTTATTAAAGCAACATTACCAAAATTCCAAGTTTTTCCCAATTGGAAAGAAACGGTGGTTTCCTTGAAACTAGCAGATTTTGTGAGATTGCTCAGATGCAGGCTGTTATATCTCATTCAAAGTATTTTCTGTCATCTTAGAATCATAGAATCACCAAGGTTGGAAAAGACCTAAATGATCACCCAGTCCAACCGTTCACCTATTCCCAATAGCTCCCACTAAACCATGTCCCTCAACACAACATTCAACCTTTCCTTGAACACCCCCAGGGTCGGTGACTCCACCACCTCCCTGGGCAGTCCGTTCCAGTGCCTGACCACCCTTTCTGAAAAGTAATACTTCCTCATGTCCAGCCTGAATCTCCCCTGCCGTAGCTTGAAGCCATTCCCCCTGGTCCTATCACTAATGACACGAGAGAAGAGGCCGACCCCCAGCTCACTGCAACCTCCCTTCAGGAAGTTATAGAGAGCAATGAGGTCTCCCCTGAGCCTCCTCTTCTCCAGGCTTCTTCAAACCATAATAGAGTTTTTCTTCAGACATGACATTTCATAGGGTTATTGCTGGCTGCTTTGAACTTGCGGTCCTAAACCTCAAATGTAATGGTTTAGGCTGGTCGCCACAATTTTTATAATGATATCTGGATGTCATGATTTGTAGCAAATTAGGCATGTTTGATTTTTATTTCCCTTACTGCTACTGCCCTTTATACTTCTCAGAACTGTGCAAAAGACATTCAGCGCTTTCTACAGCTTTTTGTCATTCACTTTGCAGACTTTGACACCTTTGTGTTGTCTAGTTACAAGTTTAAATGCATTTATGTAGGTGACACACATAATATATAAAGGAATGGGAGATGGCCAATAAATGTTTCAGACTCGTGCTGTTGATTCTTAGTAAATCCTAGAACACTCTGGAGTTCCAAAGAGCTTGGAAAGAAAAATGAGTGTGGCAGTAGCTAAAAGGATAGCTGAAGTCTACATGACTAATTCCTCAGCAGAATACTAGGAAAGCTGAAGTAGATGCAATACATATTTTTTCAGTAATGTAATCATTGATAGTTGCCATGAATTCACTGCAAATAGATCTTGTCTAACTGACTCTGCATAAATTAAAAATAAATTAAAAATCTAAGTTGTTTTACTGCCAAAATTAACTGAGTCAG